CCCCGGGCCTGGGCGCGGGCGCGGCGGCCGCGCACGCCTGCCCTCCGGCTCGCGGGTGGGATCGCTCTCCAGCTGTCCTGACTGGCTCTGTCTTTCCCCAGCGCTGCAGAAGGATCTGGACAGCAAGCTCTTCGGCCAGCATCTCGCAAAGAAAGTCATCTTAAACGCCGTGTCTGGTTTCCTGAGCAACCCGAAGCCCAAGAAACCCCTCACCCTCTCCCTACACGGGTGGACCGGCACCGGCAAGAACTTCGTGAGCAAGATCATCGCGGAGAACATCTACGAGGGCGGGCTGAACAGCGACTATGTCCACCTGTTTGTGGCCACGCTGCACTTCCCCCACGCCTCCAACATCACCCAGTACAAGGCAAGCGCCGGTGACGCGGGGCTGGCGTCTGGGTGGGAGGTGATCCCTGTGATGTACACCTGCAATCCCAGCTCGCAGGAGGAAAGTTTGAGGCTAGGCCTGTGCTAGACTTAAAGCCCTGTCTGGAAATAAAAAGGGCTGGGGATGTGTAGCTCAGTAGTAGAGTGCTTGCCTAGCCTGTGTTGCCTAGCCAGTACCAGGAGGCTGGGGAAGTTGGGGATGTAGGAAGATTTCACCATCAGAGGTTTTAATGGTTTCTCAAATGACCCAGCCATATTCCCTTTCCTGAAAGTGGAGTCACAGAATTTTGTTAAAGATGGAGCCTCTCAGATCCAACTTCAGGTCTCTTATTCAGTGGGGGAAAAAAAGACATTTCTAGAGAGACCTCTAAGTTTGCTTTTCTTTTGTGCCAGTACTCAGGACCTCACAGTTATTTGGCTTGTTTGCTCAGCTAGCACTCTACCCTTTGAGCTACACCTCCAGCCTGGCTTTCTGCTGGTTCATTGGGCTGGTTTCCAACTGTGGTCCTCCACATCTCAGCCTCTTGATTACAAGTGTTAGCCACAGCACCCAGCACTAAGCTCACTTTGACTTAAGTGCGGCCAGCTGTTTTCAGTTTAACTCGGGGATTAGCAGCCCCAGCCAGAGCAGAAGACACACCTCAATGTGTGTCCCAACTTTCCCTCCCCCTAGCTGTGTAGCCTTGGGAACACAGCCTGCCTACTCTGAAAAACATGTTTTTCCTCACAAAATGAACAGTTAAAGCCACTGGTGGCTCACACCTGTAATCCTAGCTACTCAGGAGGCTGAGATCTGATGGCAGAGGTTCTGCCTGGGCAGAAAAGTCCGGAGGCAGAAAAGACTCATCTCTAATCAACCACTCAAAACCAGGAAGTGGAACTGTGGCTTAAAGTGGTAGAGCAACAGCCTTGAGCAAAAAAGCTCAGGGAAAGCGCTCTGCGTTCAAACCCCACAACTGACCAAAGGAAAAAAAAGATGCTTAGTCTTGACTTGGGCGAGCACAGGTCCCCCGCTCCCTTCTACTTAGTGAAAACGAAAGCCGCCCACTATCAAGGGACGCTAGGATGCTATACAGTCAAGTGATGCAGCCAGGAAAGTGCTACGCAGATCAAGACGCACTGGTCATCTTAGGATTGAAGCTCCATCAAGTTGATGACTGTGTAACTTTGGTCAGATGACTTAACCTCTCTGTGCCTGAGCGTAGTGGTACATGTCTATAATTCTAGCACCTAGACAGCTGAGGCAGGAGAATCTCAAGTCTGAGGCTATCCAGGGCTATATATCATAAACCCTGTGTCAACAGACAAAACAGCAAAAAGAAAAGGGAAATATGTAAAAGGGAGACACAACAGCATTCCCTCAATGTCTTGGAGGAGGTGCAATAATGTTATGCAATCAGCTCTGCGTAGCAACCGGCATTGAATGTCCAGCACCTCTGTTACTCCATGTTCGGGCTGCAGAGGGGAGAGACTCAGCATTGCGGGGTTCACGTTGTTAAGTGGATCTCTGGTGACTCCATTCTCTCCCCAGCTAGCCATTTGAGGTCTCTGCATGCAGGCCCTCCCATTCCCACAGAGCGGGGCTTGCTGAGGTCAGAGACTCACCATGGGCATGGATGCTTGAACTGAGGGCCTTGTGCTCTTGCTTGGCATTTTCACCAGCCTAGCACTCTACCACTTGAACCATAATTCTACTGTTAGCCTTTTAGTGGTTAATTGGAGACAGGCTTTCCTGCCCAGGCTAGTTTCAAACCACAGTCCTCAGATGTCTCTGTTGAGGGTAGTTGGGATTATAGGTGTGAGCCACTGCTAGTGGCAGTGAAGCCATTGTTCTTAGGAGAAGCTGTTTCCAGGGTCTTGGATGGAGTACTTTCCCAGCATGCTCCAGCCATAGGCTCCCCCCCCTCCCGCCCCCATGCACCATCAAGACAAGGAACAAGTGGTTTGGATCGTACTTGCCGAGATGCTGGCCTGACTCGGTCTCCATGTCCTCAGGATCAGCTGCAGCAGTGGATCCGAGGCAACGTGAGCGCGTGCGCACGGTCCATCTTCATCTTTGATGAGATGGACAAGATGCACGTGGGCCTCATCGACGCCATCAAGCCTTTCCTCGACTATTACGACGTGGTGGACGAGGTCTCCTACCAGAAAGCCATCTTCATATTCCTCAGGTGAGGCCAGGAATGGCTGGGCCCGAGCTGACCGGGATCCCTGGCGAAGACAAAGGCGTCTCTCCCCACCCTCTGCCCTTCCCTCCTCATTGTCGTTGTTTTGCAGCAATGCTGGGGCAGAGAGGATCACAGATGTGGCCTTGGACTTCTGGCGGAGTGGGAGGCAGAGGGAAGAAATCAAGCTCAAAGACATGGAGCCAGCCTTGTCTGTGTCTGTCTTCAACAACAAGAATAGTAAGTTAGGGCCTGGTCCCTGGCTGCTTCCCTCCTCCTGCACCCTAGGTGTGTCCCGGGAGGCTGGCTGGAAATGCAGATTCTCTTCCAGGTGCTGGTCACAGCTGTCATCCTAGCTGCTCAGGAGGCTGAGATTGGAGGATCCTGATTCAAAGCCAGCCCAGGCAGGAAAGCCCTTGGAACTCATCTCCAATTAAGCACCAAAAAAGCAAGAAATGGAGCTATGGCCAAGTGACTCAAGGCATCAGCCTTGAGCAAAAAAGCTCAGGAACAGCACTCAGGCCCTGAGTTCCAAGGTCTAGTACTGGCACACAGAAAAAGCAGACGTTCAGTCTTCTTGGCTGAGACATCCTTAGGAGAACGTTAGCACACTTCAGATGACTTTTTTTGTTGTTGTTGCTGTTGGTCATTGGGCTTGAACTCTGGGCCTGGGCGCTGTCCTGAACTCTTCAGTTCAAGGCAGGCGCTCTACCACTTGAGCCACAGCACCACTTCTGGTTTTTTGGTGGTTTACTGGAGATAAGAGTCTCATGGGCTATCCTGCCTGGGCTGGCTTAGAACCTTGATCCTCAGATCTCAGCCTCCTGAGCAGCTAGGATTACAGGTGTGAGCCACTGGCGCCCGGCAATTAGATGTTTTGAAAAGCTATGAGGCCATCTGAGATCACTGGCTCTCCAGGACGCTTCCAGCCTTCCTTGGCATTCACGCCGTGTCCTGAGGTCCCCTCCTCAGCCGGGCCTTGTGAGCACTGGTCCCTGTTCCCCTCTGCAGCGGTCACTGTCCCCAGTGCCATGTGAAAGCTGTCTTCCCTGGTTTGCAGGGGTTTCCCAGTGCTGAGCCTGGGGAACTCCTGCGGCTGGCTGGCCTGCCGCCGTGTCCTGGGAACCCTGCACACCCCAGACTAGGCTGTGGAGAGCGTGCTGTCCCGCTTGTCTGCGGTGGCCAGTTGTATTTACTGAGCACCTATTGTGTGCAAGACACTATTGGGAAGGAAGAGCTTGGGGAGCTGAGTCACAAAAATGCATGGCCAAGCAGGGCGTGACATCATGGGCCATTCAGAGCTGGCCCCGGCTCTAAGACCTAGAGGCTGGGCACAACAGAGCCAGGCCTGGGGGAGAAGCGCCTGGCAGCGTCCCATGACCCTGCTTGCCCCACCCTGGGGCTCTGCCCCAGACACTACATGGGCGGAGTCTAGGTCTGGGTGCTGGCCAGCAGTGGTGTCCACCATGTTGCAGGTCCGGCTGCTGTGCCTAAGTTGCTGAGATAAAGGGGACGGGCCAGAGTCCACCTGAGGAACTCTGGTCACCTTCCATTCCTTTGCCGCTCTGCCAACTGTGCCTGCCCTCCTAGGCCCTGCTGGTGCCTAGGCCTTGGGCCCCTTGCCTTGGGACCTTTCTAACCCATCTGCCCATCCCCATCTCTAAGGCAGACTTGAGGACCCTTCCCCAGCCTGCCAGGCCAGCCCCTTCATCTTGGGTGGTATTGAGGCCTGAGCACTGACCCTCCAGCTCTGGCTCTTTAGTGGTTAATTGGAGATAAGTCTTTTGGATTTGTCTTTCCAGACTAGCTTTGAACCTCAATTCTCAGGTCAGTCTCGAGTAGCTAGGATTACAAGCGTGAGCCACAGCGCCCAGCCTCTTTGCAGAAATCCTGTTACCCACCCTTGTTTGCACAAAAGCATCATGCCCCACAGGTGCTCGTGACCAGCCACTTGTTCCCTCTGCGCCCTCATACTGGAATGGAGCTCCAAGGGGCAGGTGCACGGCTTTCCAGGCCTGGCCTGCCTACGTATGATGGGTGGGTGAGAGTTAGAAGGACAAATGGACATGGATCAGCCTTTCTTCTTTCCTCCAGGTGGCTTTTGGCACAGCAGCCTAATTGCCCGAAACCTCATTGATTATTTCGTGCCCTTCCTGCCCCTGGAATACAAACACCTGAAGATGTGCATCAGGGTGGAGATGCAGGCCCGGGGCTACGAGGTGGACGAGGACATTATTAACCGAGTGGCGGAGGAGATGACGTTTTTCCCCAAGGAGGAGCGAGTCTTCTCCGACAAGGGCTGCAAAACTGTGTTCACCAAGCTAGATTATTACCTGGATGACTGAGAGCCAGCCCCAGCCTTAGCCCCAGCCGCTGAGAGCCAGCCCCCAGCTGCCAGCTCCTTTCCTGGGAGAGAAATCAATGAACATAATCAATCTGCCAGCCAGCCAGCCAGCCAGCCGCACGCCCCCAGGAGCCCGAGCCGGGCACAGCAGCAGGACCATGGACAGGGACACACAGCTTCCAGAGCCTTCCGCCAGGGAGGAGCCAGCGCCAGATCCCAGCCTGTATTCCAGGCCCATGATTTTTTTAAAAATTATGTTTTAATTTCTAGTGTTTCTGTTTCAAGGAAAGATGAATACATTTTACTGAAAATGTGATAACTTTATTTAAAATGCTTTTTAACATTATGAGGAACTTCGAGTCTTGAGTGGTTGCTGTGGCGTGTTTAAAGTCCCGTTATTGTAGCATGTAATAATAGAATGTGAGCACAGGGGCCTTGGTGTTTGTCCCGTGGTATGACACAACTGGGCTGCCCCAGGATGACCACAGCCAGCCCCCCAGGGCCATGAAGGACCTCCGTAAAGGGACCTCCATCCCCCAGGCCTCCCAGGTCTATAATGGTGGAGAACAGAAAAATCTTAGTAATTTTGTGAACATTGCAAGTCTCAAAGCACGTTGGGGCCTGGCTTTGCGGCAGGCTCGTCTACTTCCCACTAGCAACACTTGGCTCCCCATTGGAGTCGAAATTGTGGGAGTTTTGTCCATTCTTTAAAGCTTCCTCATTCACCACTAGGTTCTGTTGCTCAGCTGAGCTCCCTGAACCTAAGGAAGCTTAGTCTCCCCTTCCATGAAGCCCAAAAGAGCGCCACTGATGGCTGAATGCAAGTCGTTGCCGCTTTATAATAGCACTTCATGCAGAATTTGTGAGAACACTGTGCATGTGCATGGTACCTAGTACCCTGCACACACCAAGCAAGTGCTCTGCCAGGCCACATCCCAGTCCTTTGAGTGCATCATTTTGTGTGATGGCGTGTGGGGGATTGGACTCGGCATAGGCACTCACCTTGAGCTGTTTTACTCAAGGCTCTACTCCTTGAGCCACAGCTCCACTTCTGGCTTTTTGGTGATTATTGGAGGTAAGAGTCTCATGGACTTTCCTACTCAGGCTGGCTTCAAACCTTGATCCTCAGAGCTCAGCCTCCTGTAATCCTAAGATTACAGGCACTAGTTACTGGCACCCAGCAGCTGTTTACACCCTCCAAAGGGAAGGACTTTGTGTTTCATGAGCTTAGGCTAAGGGAAGACTAGCAGATGCTGTGCTTGTTGGAATGAAATGAGACCTAAAAGGACCTCCAGGCCGTACCGCTAGGACTTGGGGAGCAGCTGACCCCAGCCTGGAGTTCAAGTCCCGCAGAGATCTCAGGCAGGAGCACAGGCTTGCTCTGTGCAGCACTCACAGCCCCACTAATGGCTGGTGCTTTCTTCAGGTGGCGGCTGCTCACATGCTCACAGGCTGATCCCAGCAGAGGACAGGCCGAAGGGTTGAGGTAGCTCCGGTCCAGTGCATTCTATTCACAAGGTTCTGAGCTCAATCTCTGGCACCAAAACTAAAACCTGCTAAGGCAGGACCTGTGTGCCTCAGAGACCCAGCCTACATTCGACTTCTTTTCAGGGAGGCCTGGGGCCCAGCTCAGCCCCCAGTGGGCCCAGAAGTGACAGACCAGGCCTAACCGGATGACAGCAGCCCTTACACCTGGGAGCCACAAGTAGGGAACCCCACAAGTAGGGAACCCCACAAGTAGGGAACCCCACAAGTAGGGAACCCCACAAGTAGGGAACCCCACAAGTAGGGAAC